TGTGCGGTCCCCCTTCTTAAAGAGGGGGACCACCAGGGCATCCTTCCAATCCTGCGGAACCCGTCCAGCGGCCCAGACCGTTGTTATGATGTCATATAGGGCAGTCTGTGCACAAACGCCACCCTCCCTCACACACAACAACAACCGCCATTCGCCACTAAGTGGCGGTGACGTCACCACGACGCTTGTGCCAGGCTATGTGCACCCTGAGGCCACGTGAAGTGTCGAACGCCCGCTGGCAGGAGGTCACGGGGCAGACCCAGGTGCCACGGGTCGACTGACTGAGATGACTGGCTGATGCACCACCTGTGCCCCCTACTGTGCCAACCTGCTGTGCTTTAGCCACCCGGCGCTCCGCTCGCTGTTGTGAGCGTCGCTCCTCCACCCTCCGTTGTTGTTGGAGGGCGACTGCCTCCAACTGCCCAGTAGCATCCTTCACGAGCCTCCTCCACAGAGGCCGATCTTGACACCGCTGGTACCAGTCATCGGCAAGTCCACTCAGCTCCACGTCCTCCTGTACCACATCACTCCATCTCTTCTCTAGCCCGTGCCGCGCCCGCTTAGCCCCCTCAATCCGGCCAAACAAAAGCCGGATTGAGGGGGCTAGAGAGACACACACACACCTAGAGACACACACACACACCTAGAGACACACACACACACCTAGAGACACACACACACACCTAGAGACACACACACACCTAGAGACACACACACACCTAGAGACACACACACACCTAGAGACACACAAAGACAAAGATAAAGATCCCCCATATAGCCTTAACAGACTGTAGGGGCAAGTGCTGTTAGCAAGCACCTATGAAGGCCGGAACGGTACACGAGGGGGTGGGTGGCCAGCACCACGCCCGACCGCCTTTGTCTCCCCAGTAGCAATGTTTACACACCGCACCAGGTACTCATTTGAGGCTGAGTCGACCTAGGGGAGGCCCAGGACCGGTTCAGATAATCGTGACTGGTGTTGGCCGTGAGCGGGAATCGAACCCGGGTCGCCAGGTTCATAGCGCAGCGTAGCGCTAACCGCTACACTACCGCTCCCCACTAGACACACACACACCTAGAGACACACACACACCTAGAGACACACACACACCTAGACACACACACACCTAGACACACACACACCTAGACACACACACACACACCTAGACACACACACACATAGAGACACACACACACCTAGAGACACACACACACCTAGACACACACACACCTAGACACACACACACCTAGACACACACACACCTAGACACACACACACCTAGAGACACACACACCTAGACACACACACACCTAGACACACACACACCTAGAGACACACACACACCTAGAGACACACACACACCTAGAGACACACACACACCTAGACACACACACACCTAGACACACACACACCTAGACACACACACACCTAGAGACACACACACCTAGACACACACACACCTAGACACACACACACCTAGAGACACACACACACCTAGAGACACACACACACCTAGAGACACACACACACACCTAGACAGACACACCTAGACACACACACACACCTAGAGACACACACACCTAGAGACACACACACACCTAGAGACACACACACCTAGACACACACACACCTAGAGACACACACACACACCTAGAGACACACACACACCTAGAGACACACACACCTAGACACACACACACCTAGACACACACACACCTAGAGACACACACACACCTAGAGACACACACACCTAGACAGACACACCTAGACACACACACACACACCTAGAGACACACACACACCTAGAGACACACACACACCTAGAGACACACACACATGCATACCTTGCACAGACATGACCACAAACCCACATTCGTTTGCACTGTACTCCCGTGTGTGTGTGAGATTGCGCGAGGCGTGATTACGTCTGCGTTATTTGTGTGACGCTGGTCCTCGGCCAATTCCACTGACTCCCCACCGCACCACTCCAGAGCCTGGACCTACCACGCACCCGCACACCACCACCGCCACGGCATTCATATACAACTGTGCCAACCCACTACTTGTATACCACTACCATCCATACCCCACCATGCCAACCCATCACCCACACACCACCACCAAACCATCACCCACACACCACTACCATCCATACCCCACCATGCCACCCCATCAACCACACACCAACACCATAAATACCCCACCATGCCACCCCATCACCCACACACCACCACCAACCCATCACCCACACACCATTACCATCCATATCCCACCATGCCAACCCATCACCCACACACCAACACTAAAAGACGAAGACAGAACAAAGAACCCCCGTGTAGCCTGTAACAGACTGTTGGGGCAAGTGCTGTTAGCAAGCACCTGTGAAGGCCGGCACGGCACACGAGGGGGTGGGTGGCCGACACCACGCCAGGCCGCCTTTATCTCCCCAGTGGCGATGTTTACACACCGCACCACTTACTCAATGAGCGCACCACCACCAACCACTACATTCACATTCAACGGTGCCAATCCGCCACTCGCACACCACTGCCAGCATCAATACAATATGCATTAGTGTGTATATATCAGTGTGTATATATCAGTGTGCATTAGTGTGTATACATCGGTGTTCATTCGTGTGTATACATTACTCTGCATTAGTGTGTAAATTAGTGCAATTGTATATCAGTGCGTGCCTGTGTATGCCGTAGGTGCTGCCTAACAGCACATGGCTCAACAGCCAGAACCTAAAAATTACTATGCGGCGTGGATCCTGATCTTTGTGTGAGTGTGCGTTGGTGTGTGTGTGTGCCAGTGTGTGTGTGCTAGTGTGTGTGTGTGCTGGCGTGTGCATGTGCCGGTGTGTATGTGTGTGCCAGTGTGTGTGTGTGCCAGTGTGTGCCAGTGTGCGTGTGTGCTGGCGTGTGCATGTGCCGGTGTGTATGTGTGTGCCAGTGTGTGTGTGTGCCAGTGTGTGTGTGCCAGTGTGTGTTGGGGAGCGGTAGTGTAGCGGTTAGCGCACTGCACTGCAAACCCGACGACCCGAGTTAGATTCCCACTCCCGGTCAACACCAGTGACGATGATCCGAACTGATCATGGGCCTTGCCTAGGTCGACTCAGCCTCAATTGAGTACCTGGTGCGTTGTTTCAATATCACCACTGGGGAGACAAAGGCGGCTGGGCGTGGTGTTGGCCACCCACCCCCTCGTGTGCCATTGCTGGAACTTCACAGGTGCTCGCTAACAGCACTTGCCCCAACAATCCGTTACAGGCTATAAGGGGGATCTTTGTCTCTGTGTGTGTACTGGCGTGTGTGTCAGTGTGTGTCAGTGTTTATTGGTGTACGGTCACACCCGGTATGAATTCTACATACATCCATGCCACATCATTTCACCAGCTCTTGCCCCCACGTGTTAAAGTTAGGATGTCTGTCTGTTTACTCGGTTAAAAAAAAATCCTCAACAACAAAACCACACACCCACAGCCAACTGCTGCCCAAGAGGATCGTCTGCCAAAACGCACAACATCCGTGTGTTTAAATAACGTGTGTGTGAGAGAGGGAGTAAATTATTTATTTCACGTGCATGGCACGACCGCAGTCCTTTTTTTTGTCGAAAAGCTTTTAAAATCGCTGTCCGTTTCCGCTCGGCTCTGTTCGTTTAAGCCGGCGGCTTTTGTCTCCTTGGACCCGTTGAGAGTGAACGAATGTTGGGGACGTTCGTGCCGAGTGCCAGCCAGGTGGATGTTTACGTGGGGCATAATTTGCCCAAGCGTTCGCTCGCTCGCTCGCACAAAGGGAACATTTTGATTTTCGACTCATTGTCAATATCACAGGAATTATGTTTGGGGTTTTTCTTTACAATTCACTCTCTTCTCTCTCTCTCGGTTATTCATTGCGCCGATTACCCCGGGGGTTGTGAAAAAATAAAGTATTCATTTTTTTGGGGGGTTTTCACGCACTCACTGGTTTTCATCGTTAGCTGCTCCTCACTTGTCGACGGGTCGTCGAGGGTCGGTGCCTCGATCGGTGACCCCGTGACTGCCGCACACACTTTGGCAAGTACATCTTACGACTTTAATAACAAGAACAACAAACACGAAGGCGGATTCGAAGCCCCCGCAGAGTACGTGTGTTTACACCGTCTGGTCTGCACGTGTTTTTCCACTCTCTACGTTTCTCTTTGACGTGAGTGCACTCCCTTCCCCAATTTCTACAGATAATCGAACGTTGACTCGGATACCTTCACCACACTTTACTTTCATACGCCCGTGCTTGTTTTAAAAATTCCCTACTTAAAGGGGCCTTATTTTGAGGCCTAAATTCCAACTTCAAAGCAAAGAAGGGACATGACTGAGGCTGTAATGGAATTTTGTTATTTGGCGTTTGAGATAATTTCGTAAAAGTTGCATTTAAAAAAAAGTAAATAAATTAAATAGATAATTATTCCTGAGGTGGCCAGATGGCTGAGGTCAGAGCACTGGCCTGGCACAGCTGACACCTGGGTTCAAATCCAGGTCACAAACACCACCTGTGATTAAACCGGGTTCTCAAGTTCAGCGTGTTGATGGCATGAGCCTGGTCACCAATGGCTGCCAACAAACAAACCAAAAACATTACGTCAAAATGTGCTTCTGCACTTGATTAGGCAAAATTCCAGCTCTCAGAATGATCTGCCATGTGATGAGCATCCTGTCATATTCAGAGCGGATAGGAAAAGGGATACCTTGTACTCTGTGCAGCGGTCACACTTGAAGGGATCTCAGAGGTGGGTCTGTGATATCCGCTTCCATGTGCCATTCTCTTACGAGAAGGATTGCACTGCTCTGCGGATATTTGAAAGATGCCGCGACGCTGATAGCATGGTTACGATTACATTTGGGGGAAACTTGAATTAATCTGAGAATAATTATTTGTATTCCTTCTCCACCTCAACTCTGAGTGATTTTTCCCACCTCCCACATCCTCCCTCCCTTCTCCCTCCTTGGTCCACTCTGCAGGCACCACGGAACGGGTGGCGTTGATTCAGGGCTCGCCCGATGCCCTCAACTCTGTGCATGACTTCATCGCCGAGAAGATCCGGGAGATGCCCCCGAGTCCTGGCGATCGTGGCGGCGGAGGTGGCGGCGGCTCCGGAGGAGGAATGTTGGGTAACGGAGGAGCCCACGGCGAGAGCGATGGGGCTGTGGGGAGATTCGAAGGCTCCGTGGGGCCCCTTCCTCCGCAGACGGCCGTCAGCTCCGACCGCATGAAGCAGGTGTGTCGGCGAGATCGCTCGCTCACTCGGTGTCTCGCTCGGTCACTCCATCCATTGATCGCTCGATTACTCGCTCTCTCTCCAAAGACATTCACATGATCGTTCACTAACTCACTTGTTCACTCCATCGCTCAATCACTTCCTTAATCACTCTCTCACTCACTTGCACAGTCACTAGATTGCCTTCTTCGTTACTCGTTCAATAGCTCATTGACTCAGTCACTCACTTAAAAACTATCTCAGTCGCACGCGTGACCTCTGTATTGGATCAGTTGTTTCATCGCGAAGATCTCTCAATCATTTTACTCGATCGCTTGCGCGAACTCTTTGTAACTTGATCGATCACTTGATCGTCGAGCCAGTGGTGAAAATTTCTCATTCTCTTGGGATCAGTCTCTTCATAGGACAACTTCTACTGATTCGAAACTGAGTGGTACCAATTTTATCGACCTTTGATGGAAAATGACGATGACGATGACAATCGGTTGAGTCAGCCCCAACTGAGATTTGAACGCTCGGCCTTCTCCCCCATGGGTCCCGTGAAGCAGGCTCCCTGCCAGCATTGAGGCCCACGCAGAAAAAAATATATAATAATTTCCCTGGCGCGAGCTGCGCCGCACAGATGGTGCTGCGACGACGCATCTCATTACGCTCGAAGTAAACTCGTTAATCGAGAGGTTGATTGCGATGCGCCGGCACCGCTGCCGCCGCCAAAATCGCTGTGGCGAGGAGCACAGCGCTTTTGCTTGGCTGTTGCTTCAGCTGCCGTCATTCTATCCCGGTCGCCGCGCGCCATCGGATACGGGCGCTGATTTGCCCAGCTTTCCCTTTCATTATTAACGTCGGGATTCTTACTCCGACGAGCGAGAAGGGACGCGCTCGAATCGCGGGGCCCACGTCGAATGCTGCTCTGGCGACACGTGGCGCCGAGGGTACTCTATTGTGGGGGGGCGATGGCGCAGTGGTTAATGCGCTGCACTACAAACCCGGCGACCTGAGTTCAATTCCCGCTCACGACCATTTGAACCGGTCCTGGGCCTCCCCATAGGTCGGCTCAGCCTCAAAATGAGTACCCGGTTCTGTGCGTAAACATCGCAAACTAGGAAGACGGAGGTGGCTGGGTGTGTTGCTGGCCACCCACCCCTTCGTGTGCCGTTCCGGCATTCGTAAGTGTTCGCTAACAGCACTCGCCACAATAATCTACTGTACACGCCCTATGCAACCGGTAATTTCGTGAGCAAAAAAATCGGCGACGAAAATATAAATTAACAACTTGGTTTGTAATTTTCTTTTAGTCCGCGACGGCTGCTAGTGCTCGAAAGTTAAAAAGCGATCTAACCCCAGACAAATCTCTATTATGGATGATATTGGTCGCGAAAGCCTACGTGCTAAACTGATAACTGTGACTGCCCACCAAAGGCCGAAATGCGAGTGACTGTGACGAGATTAAATCAACGAGTCCGAAAGATGTCGCAGACTAAGGTAATTTAGTCACGTGATTAGCGATCGCGGTGCACTGAGCAACACCAAACATGGTCATTCGCTACACGTGTACACGAAACGATTTTACTGAATTCACCAACTGGAACTGTTAGACGGCAGACTTAGGTAATAGGCGTTTCTCTCGGCAACGTTACTTTAAAAAGAGAGAAACGTGTACAAAACCACCGCGCGTGAATGTGACGATGACGACGGCGTGACAAATGAACGGCCCATCTGCAGCTGGCCTCGAAGGATTACAGCACATCGCAAAGACGGCGGAGAACAGACCGCCACTTCGGGGGATCAATTGGGATGAGCGATCATGGGAGGGAAGCGACTGGAATTTGGGATGATGGCACCGTGGAGGCATGCATTGCCGCTCCCACGCCATCCACGCTTTCCCTTCACCCCTCTTGACATTTCTGTTTTCCATTTCCTCGTAGTAATGGTAGTAGTAGTAATAATAATTGTAGGGATGTGTCTTGTTTCTTGCGCATTCCTCCTGCCGTCACCAACAAATCAGCCCGAACGTGATTTGCCATTGTACGTTGCCCTCGTCCGATGATCGATGACAATGAGAAGCACGTGGTTGTCAAAGTGCACGTGGCAGCTTGCAAAAAAACAGTGCCATTGGTAAGGGCAGTGGGGGATTGCGGGCCAGGGTTGAGGAGGCTATGAAAACTCTGCATCGGGTTTCCCAGTCTGAGGTGACAGTGTTTGTCCATCTGTGCCCAAGTGCTATGCATGTGGAACCTTTCTCCATGTGAGAAGGGTGGATGATGATGATGATGGTGACGACAACGTTCTTACGACGTTGATATCAATGGTTATGATAATGAGGATGATGACAATGCAAGTTTGATATTGATAATCATGATAATGATGCTACCAATTATGATGTTACAACATTGATATCAATGGTTATATTAACGATGATGATAATGATGACGTTATTACAAAGTAGATAACAATGGTCTTGTATTCATAATGTTGATGAAATAATTACGATGTTGATATCGATGGTCATGGTAATGATGATGATGATGGCAATCATTACAATGTTCATGATGACATCTGCTATTATGACATTGATAACACCAATGACGACGACGACGACGATGATAATGTTGACGACACCGATGAGAGCTATCACACCGACAACGATGAACTTGACGATCACGGTGATGATGACGACGACATTGGTCCTGAGCCGAACCCCGGTGAGGAACTGGGCTCCCAGCCTCCCGACCTCCCGACCTTTTGACCTCGCGATCACATGATCCCGACTGCTGCCCTCTGACTGCACCTCCTACAAGCGCAGCGCTGAACCAACGTGTGGGGAAAGGGGGCCGCTGAGCGATGCTGGGGACGTCTCTAGTTGCACAACTCATCTCCCTCTTGATGGCCAAGAATACCCGGAGCAATGAAAGCTGGGAAATTATCCGTGTATTTAAAGCGTTGGGAGGGGGGGTTGTGGTGAGGGGGGGTGGTTTGGTTATTGGGTTGGCATGGTGGTGTGACACCGGAGTTTTGTGGGGGCGGCCGTGGTGGCGGTGCCACGTGTTTATCGATTTTTTTTTGGCAGTCCCTTCGCTGTTGGAGGTGGTGGCGGTGGCCATACAAATCTGTTTTGATTAATCGTACCGCAGATGTTTCCCATTTTGTAAATATTTGTTAGTGCGTTCTGAAATCACACACACACACGCGCGCATGGTCGCTCGTCAAGACACAGCCAAAGATCCCCTGTATAGCCTGGTCACTGTCTGGGAGAGGGGGGGGGTGTTAGCGAGCACCTTTGAAGGGCCATGGCATACAAGTGCGTGATGTAGTCAGCATCACATCCAATCAAATCTTCTTGTCTCCCCAGTGCTCTATGTTTACGCACTGCGACAGTTAAGACTGAGTTGACCGATGCGTGTGCGTGCACACACACAACAGTGGTGACCAGGCCCGGGCTCGCCATAGGGCAGCAGTCCACAGGGCAAATGCCCGGTGGGCCGGTCCATTCCAAGGCCCGGTGGGCCGGTGTGTATGAGGAAATTGCAAACCTGATCAGAGTACATTGTTTTACTCTGATCAGGTTTGATTGGTCCACACCGTCCCTTGGTGTGGACCAATCTGTTTCAAGGACAATGCATATATTATCATAGTATGTTTTTTTGTTTGCATTTTGACTGCAGGTATTGTGGTTAATGCAGACATGAATCCTCATAAAAAGGTTTCAGTTTTGTTGCCAGAAAAAAGGGGAAAAACCCTATTATTACATTTTGGTACTGGAAAAGGAGGTCTAATGATGTATTTATACATTCTCAACACTCATTGGGTCAAACTAAGGTCAAAGCTCGCTCACTCTATAGCCCAGATCTACAACACCTACTCTTAATTACCCCGGAACCACACCTACTGATTCCAGATGTGGGTTGTAGAGTGGATAATGATTTCTGTATCTGGGCAATAGCATAGGTGTTGATTTCCAAATCTGGGCTGTAGAGTGGGTGATGAGTTTTGAATCTGGGCTATAGGATGGGTGCTAAGTTGTAGGTCTGGCCTATAGGGTGGATTATGAGCCCTGGGTCTGATCTATAAATATGACATTGGTTTCGTAGATCAAGAAAGCTGGAGATACCCAAGACCTTGTTTTGAATGCACATGAAAATCCACTTTAAAAGATACAGCGTCAGTAACACAAACACATCTGTAGCCCACATCATCATTACCATCAACACCGACACTTCCTCTGGCTACCCTGTGATTTACATTTTTGTGACATACACGTTGACGAAACCTGCCAAATGTGTCCAAACGTGTGTGTGAGTAAGCGAATCCATCTGTGCGCGCGTGATTATACGCAGGCGCGGGTGTCGTCGCACTGACCCACCCACTTAATTTTTGCGCAGTGGGTGGCAGCGGAGGCGGGATGCGTTCGTATTAATAATTCAGCCGCCTTGGTTTAAGCAATGCCGGGATGAATAACAAGGCCTTTGCATCGATCCCACGGCAAATATATTGCTATGTAAATAAGGTCGCAAATAAACGAGCACGCTGTGAATCGCCGCTCGCCAGTTGCCTTGCGCGTTCTACGCGCGCGTTGGTGGATTTCCGTGCACAAAATATTCAACGGCTGCCAAACATTCCGATGACCATTTTGTACGGTTGCACACGGACAAGACAACCTTGTTGATGGGGGTTCTGTGGATCCAAGCAACAAGATCGCCGGTTATATAATTCAGCACGTTATAGTTCAGCACTTTATAATTCAGCACGTTATAATTCACCACGTTATAATTCAGCACGATATAATTCACCATGTTATAATTCAGCACGATATAATTCAGCACGCTATAATTCACCACGTTATAATTCAGCACGTTATAATTCAGCACGTTATAATTCACCACGTTATAATTCAGCACGATATAATTCACCACGTTATAATTCACCACGTTATAATTCACCGCGTTATAATTCACCACGTTATCATTCAGCACGTTATAATTCACCACGTTATAATTCACCAC